ACGCCCGAAGCCTCGAACTGTGACAACAGGTTCCGGAGAACAGGAGACACCTGCACAGCGCAGCGCAAACAACAGCATTGCCCTGGCTGCTGGTCATACGTCCCCTTTTGCCTGACTCCATCATGCAAAAGAGCGAAGGAAGTTGAATGGCACAGCCGCCCGTTGCCAAAGATGCGAAATTCGATTCACTCATAATGGGATAATACTTTCGATGCTTTCTTCCACTCCGCGTTACCCAACTAAGACCTATGACAGTCAACAAGCACTAACGTGGCACAGTACTTTCCACAGATAGAGGGAGGCCAATGTAGACAAAAAAACTAAAGTGCTTGTTACGGGGACTGTCAAGAAGGTACTCTTAACTTGGGGAAACCCCCACATGTCCTGGCTGTTGATCTGTAATCTTCCCAGAACTAAAATGAAAAACATCAAAAAAAATATGTTCAATCCTTCCTTCAGGTTATACTAAAATAAAATTGAGAAATACTTCCTAAGGAGACTACAGAATAGTGGAGAATCAAATAGAAACTACTAGATACCCTGAACCCTAAGCCTAGACCCCAAACCTTAGTTCCTGAACCCCGAAAACCTAAACCTGTAATCCCCTAAACACCCTAACCCCTAAACCCGTAAAAACCCTAAGCCCTATTATAGCAATGGAGACTTCAGTCACGAGAGTAGTAATAATGCCAAAAATAACGGTAATAATAAAGATATATGTAATAGTTGCAAGAGTAGGTGTAGCAAAGGAGGCTTGAGGGGCCACTCCTCGGGCTGCTCGTCGATTGCGAGCTGCAGCTTGGCTACGCACCTGGCCTGGCTACATGATTCCCCAAATTAAGGTTTAGAGTTTAGGATTTTGGGTTTAGGATTTAAGGTTTAGGATTTAGTGTTTAGGATTTAGGATTTAGAGTTTAGGATTCAGGGTTTAGGATTTAGGGTTTAGGATATAGGGTTTAGGATTTAGGGTTTGAGAGGTTTCGGGTTTAGGGGTTCCCCAACATAGGTTTACATTTGAAGGGGTTATAAGGGATATCTGAGGGTATAGAAGGATATATAGGGTTTGCCTTTGAAGCCAGAGGACTTTTACGCCTGAAGGAGGGCACCGGTCCCAGTCTACTTCGAACCTTCAGCATCGAAATCAGTCTGAGACGTCAGTTTGAGTCCCGATACAGCGTTTGGGGTTAGGGTTTTCCCAAAATTAACGTACTGTTTTGAGGATTTAGGGATTTGGGGTACCTTTTGAGGGTTTAGGGGCTAGGGGTTTAGGGACTTAGGGAATTGCACAGTAGTTTCTAGGGAGTAGGTGTTCCCCAAAATAGTAGGGGTCCCTCTTCTGGGGGGTCTGTACTAAGTAGTGCTTCATGTTGGCTACTAGTATCTGTGTCTGGAAGCACCGACATGGAGTCAGGAAAACCCAGTTGCAATTGGCGTGAAGTAACCTCAACATTCATTAATATGCCAGTCACAAGGTTCCCAGCTGTTGCCCTTTGAATGGTTTGTAACATCCCCTTTTGTCGTGGCTAACAGTTTTTTGCACAATACCCCCAAATGAGCCATAATCTAAACTCCTAGTATCCCCTTAATAACCCCTATAATAGTCGCCTATATAATCTTCTATATAACCCCCCTTTAAACGGTTTAGACTATAGCTCACATGATGTTTGGTGGGGTCAGCCCTGCTCGAGCAAGTTGGACATCTGCGAAGGTCAAAGACTACCCTATCTTCCCAAGAACGCATCGCTGGGCCTCCAGAACAATAGCCTGAGAAGCACAGGTTCGCTGCAAGCCGGGTGAATAGTAGCAAAATAAAAACAATAATGATACTAGTAAGACTCGTCAGAATCAAAACAACGGTAAAAATGGTAATAACAGTAAGCGCATGGAAAGCTCCGAGATCCTTGCACCATCTGGTCGGCCGGCATCCAAATACTTTCGAAGCCATGCCTGCCAGCATACGTAGGCGGCTTCAAAAACTGCAAGGAAATTAGGCTGCGCTCACAACACAGACCTTGAAGACTTTGCGAGAGTACATGACACTTGTGCAGCACTTCCCTTACGACATCTTACAACCTAGATGCTATTGTTGCGACTGGCCTCCAGCGTCGAATCTTCATGCGGCCTGGGATTCAAAGCCATGGTGCTCTGAGCACACAGAACCCAATAATATACTATAGTAGTTTCCATTTTATTTTCCATTATCCCTATATAACCCCAATATCCCTATATAACCCATATAAGCCCAAGGCTAGTTCTCAGAGGGAGCAGACAGACTCTACGATCAAGTTGACTCACATTGACGACCTGCCATGAACAAGCGAAAGCCTCTGGTCGAACAGCAGCGGCAGTTCCTCAGCGCCATGAGATGCCGAAGCAAAGCGACTACACTCTACATCTTATGCATTACATTTTTGTTATTACTATACGTATTACTACATTCTTGTTATTATTGTGATCATTACAAGCCATTGCAATGCAGCTTGCCTGTCTTCAGGCCAAGGACCAGTGCAGGACACGCGACTAGCCTTCTCAACTGCATAAGCTCAAACTGGTGGCGTACGGCCTGCGTCTTTCCACACATGTGAGCGAGAGTCTAAACTCCTAGCATCCCTCTTACTAATCCCTATAATCCTCCCCTCGGTAATCCCCTAAATAACCTTGAAGGAGTTTAGATTGTAGCTCACGTAGCGCACTAACCTGCTGGCCTCCATGAGTTGTCTGCTGATCAAGGACATTCTGGCCCCGAACCAGTACAAACTTGCGGTCACCAGCTGCCGCGCTGAGAATAACAGTAACAAAACATAATGCCAATGGCAATTTGAAATTTGGCAATAGTACAAACTGTCCTAAAAATGATAACACTATATAGAGTAATAAGAGTGACAAGGGTAATCTCAGTAACAAGAGCAACAACAGTAATTATAGTGACCATACTTAGCAATGGAAAGAATGATTATACTAAAATGCCCGTTGCTGACGAGCTTCGAATTCCACCACGGTCTCGGCTTGACTGTTGGAGACAAGCCTCGAACTGCATTCGGGGTTCAAAGTTCAAACGTGGTTTTATAGGGTGACCCTAAAGCCTAAACCCTAAACCTAGGGTTTAGCACTGCGAAGGCGGTCCCAAAGGATCGTTCTTTTTGATACGTTTGGTTGGTGTTCCATGTGACTGCCAGTGGGCGGGGCAAAGTGTGACTATGAACACTGAACACCATGAATCCGCAATGCTAATGGGGGCGACTCCCAACAAAATACGAATCCTTACAACCTGATAATCTAACCCCAATATATTCCCTAGTTTCCATTTCATGTTCCATTTTCTTTTCCATTTGATTCTCAAGTTACCGGGTAGTATCTCCATGTTTTAAGCCCTCTATACTATAACATAATCCTGTACATCCCTATGAAAGTCTATATGACCCTATGTTAGGTACCCCTACAAAAACCCTATATCTTATGATCTGGCTCTGTGGGCCAGACGCAACCAAGTCAAGGATTTCCGGATCGAACTGCGCTTCCAGGCGGTCACCTTTCCCAAGGCGTGCGGGCACTCCGCCAAAAGAACTAGACATGCGTATCTGCATAGATAAGTGAATAGATAGATACACACACATATATATATATCATGTAGAGAGAGGATGCTTTTTTACACCCCCTCGCTCCTTTTCTAGAGGATGCAGGGTTTAGGCTTCAGGGTACACTTGACCCATTTGCCCCATGGTCCTTTTCACATTAGCAGGACATGCTGCGACCGCGCCTGTTCTCAATCCGGGGCCTGCCAATACATGGAAGGGCTGCGGCCTCCGTCTGCACACATGGGGGTTTCCCAAAATTAGGGGTACCATCATGGGGGTCCCCATAATAAGGATTGTAGTATTTTGGGGTCTACATGGGGTCCCCCCATTTTGGGAAATTATCACATGAGGTTGCAACTTCAACAATGTCACAGCTCTTGCCATGCCTGAACTCAGGGCCCATTACCCAGTCGACCCAAGCTGCACAGTGCTGTCTGGCTGAGTCGGTCCAACTCACTTGTACTCGTTATTTCTTTTTTGAGGTTGCGCTAGTGATTATGAGCCGCTTCCAATCCCACATCAGATAGTCTCTTCCAACTTGTTCCTGCTTTCTGTGCTCGCATATTCTGGTGATCGTAGGAACGACTGAAAATGTTGCATTAGCCGCATCCGCTCTGTGTGGAAGTTGTATTCCGCCAAGTCGGCATGGTAGGAAGAGAAGAACCCCACACTGGCTGGCGGCTGTAAGCGGCTACTATCTTGGTCTTAAGCCAGTAGCTGCGAGTACTGAATCGCCTGAGCCTACCCATCATTCGATGGATCTGCAGGAACTGGGCAACGCTCGCATCTCCAAGTATGTGGCATAAGCATCGGAAGAATTGTGTCGGGAAACCTTGAACATTAATTGCCTCAGCAATTGTCAACAGCTATGCTAATGATGGTGGCTTCGGCGCTAAATCCATACATCCGGGACCCGATCGAGGCTTTCGCAGAACATACATGCGGTACTGCACACAGTCATTGGCTGTCGATGAATTGGGAATATGTCTGCGCCCTGGACACGCCCGGCCATCCTTGACAATCTGAAGACCGTTTTCGCAAATGTGTGCCAAGTCCTTTCTTCGGCGTTGCTCTCAAAGAGCTCCGTGCGGCTGGCGATTGCGACATCATTGCCGCGCATACCACCTTTCCAGACTGTATGCATGATGTTGGAGTGCGCAGGCAGGTTTTTGAAAGCTGGACTTCCCGTGCTCGTCATGTTGCGGTGCAAAAAGTCTGCGTCATCAGGCACTGCTCGAGCTCACCAATTCCTCTGAGTCCGCTGGCGCGCAAGCGCTTTCTCGAAGACATGGGCAGGTCTCCTGCAAGTACTCAGTACTGCGCAGCACTAAGCTGAAACATCTTGCACCCCATGACTTCCAGCTGCCTGTAGGAGTCCGCAGGAGGCGCCAAACGCTCAACCCCTGGCAGCGCATGGATTTTGACTCAACAAGAAAGAAATGTGCCTGGAAGCTTGCAGGTTCCTGAGTTACTGCTCTTCTCCTTTTCCTCTTCCTCTGCTGGTCGGCGCATTGTCCGAATCTGATCAAACGCATCCTTGATTTTTTGGAATGCCGCCGCGCACTCCTCAAAATGCAGGAGAATACAGCGGCTGGGGTTGGGGCCGATTTGCACAACTGAACTTCAAATCGCAGCTGTTGCCTTGAATGCAGCCACGTTTCCGGGCTGTCATCGTCCAGCGCATGTGCAAGGGCAGTCCAGCGGCGGCGCAACTGGCGGATGGAGACATCGGTCGGGACGCCGAGCCTCAGCAGTTCTTACAAACCGAAGACTGTGGAACTGCCAAACAGCGAACATGTCATCAAGTCCCCACTCCAAGAGGACATGAACGACCCCTTACGACACCACGTGCGTTTGCGGTTTGCACTGGTGCCCCAGTTCTATTCCTCCTTCCCGTTCCTCCTACTTTAACCCCGGGCTCAAACTAAACACAGTAATCTCACTTGGAGAATGCCCTTTATCCTTCGGCTTTCGTGCTACTCTCTCCAAATTCCTCCGGAAGTGGAGCGGAGCAGAAAACATGGAACTGAGAAAGGTTTCCCAGTAGAGGAAAGAAGGCATCCTGGAGACCATCACTGGAAATGCTTAGCACGCCAAGGAGTATACAGGTCAAACTCAGGACGGACTGCCCGGCAGGCCGCAGGAAAAGAGGAGAAAAACCCCCCAAGGGAAAAACCTCACTTTACAGACGGGCGGGCCAGAAGGCCATGAGTCTACGGGCATCAGTGTCGGCTTTGGGACAAGCCTTGAAGACATGAACCCTGGGGGCCAAGTCAGGATGCTCTGGGGTGAGGACTCTAGGGACACTCTGGGCTTGGAGACTGAATCTGAAGGCTTGTTGCGGGCTCAGGAACCCTAAGCCCTAAACCCTAAAACCTAACCCCTAAACCATAAAACCCTCAACCCGCAGGTACAATCTGGATTGGGCACTTAGAGAATACAGCTGGGCACTCCAGGATCCAATTAGAGCTGACCTAATAACCCAGTCAAAATGGATGGACAGTACTGTAGCTGACTGGATTGGGCCCAGCACACTTCGATTTAATGACAAGCCGCTGAATCGGAAGCAGCTGCAGGGGTTCTGAAACAAGCTAACACTTAGGCTGCGAAGCGATCAAGGTATCCAGGTCTCAATGTCAATCGCAGATAACTAACCCACCAGATGGAAGTTAATTTTCGACCATGGTCTTCAAGGATTGCCTTGCTCCAAAGAAAAAACAAGATGCACACATATGTCTGTACATACATATACACATACCCTCATGCGAACCACCACAGGTACCCAGGGTGAAGTGAGCGTGCTGCATTGGAAGGAATAGCACGGTCGTATGGAAGCACTATGTCACTATGACGTCACATGCCAGCATTGGAGCCTTCTGATATCATGTACACGTACAGCAAAGAAAACATCGAAACCCTGAATGCCGGTCACTTTCCTGAAGTTGCTGTCATTCTCGAACACATTCAACTTCTGGGTGACAATTGGCGGGTTTGATGAGGCAACTCGCCAACTCAGCTGAGCAACACCTCATGAGCCTCGCTGGCTTCCAAGATTCGACGTGCAACCAAAGCTGGTGAGGCCTAGAAAACAGCTATTGGGCTTCTATTAGGGTTATATTGGGATTATGGTGTTATTTTACGGCTATTTTAGGGTTCTATTGGGGTAAGCTCAGCACCCAGAATCTCATCGCAACTGGGCCTTTGCAGCGCTATTAGTTGCCACTTTGCAAGGCATGTCTAGAAATCGTACCTGTTCATTTCGATTGGCAGTAGGCTTCGCCAGAAGAGGACACGGTCATGTGAGGACTTCAGGCCACACCTTGCAAATCCCAGACCTGAGCACACAGTGAAGCCTGGCTCCCGACAAGCATCTGAGTAGCTTTTTTGGTGGTTAAACCCAGTAAGATTATATCCCTTACTTAAATAAATATACCCCCAAAAATGTTGGGTACCATAGTATCCCCAAATAAAATACTACTCATCTCTGTCAGACTCAGGAAGCCTCGGCTAAGAGCTCCTCCGGCAGCTTTGGGCTCTGCGTCGAAAAGCGCCGCCGGCCGAAGAGGTAGGTGTCCTTCCATGATGCTGCAAAGCACCGAGATAACAACTGCGCAGCGTACTTGTTCTTATTTGCTATTGCTGCATCAACTTCCGGAGTTAGCAGTGGAAGTACCAGTTGATGTTGTCGTCACCATCATCACCATCGTTACATCGTTTGCCAGAGCTGATTTTCATCATCAGGTCTCTAACGTGATCCTGATGATGGCAAACGTTGTCTGGTGGGCTGGCAGTCAAGCTCTCTAAAGTCAGACCGGGTATGCTGAAGAGTCCCTGGAGGCCAATGTTGGCAAATACCTACTGTCGGAGTTGGACCTTCAATACAATCTTACCCAACAACCGAGCGGCTTGGTAGTGGCCCTCCACAAGCTCAACATGCAAGCATTCCTTGCCTCAGGGTTGTCGTAATCTGATCAAGGCCAAGAGTCAAAATCATGTCTCGCCATCTGAGCGCCCGGCTCTCTGCAAGTAGGCCCCGAAAAAGGTTGCTGGCCCACATGCGAAAGCGGGGCGCCAGCGTAGCCTGGCTTGCCCGTCTTCCAGTCTGCTGCGCTCCTGCATAGCAGACCCTGCCTTTGCTGGCCCATTCCACACGTTTTTGTTGTACTTGCCCCAGGCGCAAACCTTTCGCACATCAACGCATAGCTTCTCCCTGGGATCAGCTAGTTCATGCTGAAGTGTCGTGATGCCTGCGACGGTCAGGTATCGACCACTGGCTTCACACCCTGGCACTGCAATCACCCCTTTGCCCTACAGTGAACATAGCGTTTGTTTATAGCGTTTGTTTGATACTTGCCCAGGTCTATAATATAATGAAGATGAAAGAGCCTTCCTAAGGAGGCTACAGAATAATGGCGAATCAAATGGAAACTGCTCTATATCCTGAACCCTAAACCCTACTTTCCTGAGCTCGAAACCCTACGTAATTCCTAAGAAAACTACAGGGCAAAGAGTTCGCGGCTGCCTCGGCGGCGGCGAAGGTGTGCGTGCCAAGCGTCCAGCGGGTACGGCTCTTTGCCTCAGGAACACACAGGATAGCAATAATGACTGTGGTAATAATAGTAGCAGTAAGAGTAATAACAAAAGGAACAGTCATACTAGAACTAAATGTTAATAGTACTCACAATAGTAACGATAATGGTAATACTAATAATACGAAAACACTACTAGTGCGTATGAGACTTCAGCAGCCACAAGCCATCATTCATTACGCACCTTCATTGCAACGCAAGCGTTAACCTAACTAGGATGCCATAGTATGTGGGCTTACCCACCCTTCTGGATGCCAAGCAACATACTGCAGGGGCGGAAGACAGCAGGGCTTCCTTGGTGCCATGTCAGTTGGGGGGGGCTCCCCTTCCGTACCCATTGGGGCCCATTCAGGGGAATCATGGAAAATAAAATGGCAACTACTATAATGGGTTATAGAGGGTTTAGGGTAGAAAATCTGCCAAAACGAAACCTGTTCAAGCACGCACACACAATCGACAAGCATCAAAGCAAATGCTACACACTTCGGGCCGGCGTTGAAGGTCTCCACAGCTCGAATGGCTAGAATACCTCCGGCCATGCAGATGCAAGCTTCAGAGGCCATCTCGCAGCATCCTAAGAGTGGAGCACTATGACTCTGCCAACAAATCAACCATCTTTCATGGCTTGCGTTAAGGAGTTTTACGGAATCTGGCCCGGAAAGTTGCTTCAGCACATCTCCGGAAACAAGTACATTGATTTCAAGGCTGTAGATCTTTGCTGCCAAGCTGTGGGCACCGCACAGGTGAATGCCAAGCACGACCACCGGCCCAGGTGCCGGCTCGAGAATTCCTTGGATCCAACCCAGGACAATGGCTTGCTGCGTCATACATGCCAGTCTGGCACGATACAAGCCACAACTCAGCGCAGCTTGTTGCAAATGAAGGTCTGGAAAGGATCTGTGCATGAGTTGAAGGAAGCTTCAGATCAGAACGGCGTGTCACCAAAGGAACTGGCCACGGCAGGTTATAGATGTGGTCCCAATTCCTTGTGGCAGAGAACTGCAGAGATGCAGAGTCATCGCACAGAACCATGCTGGCTACGAAGCAAGGCCACTTCTCGCGGGCTGAAATGCACATAAGCACCAGACCGCTTTGGCCCTTGTTGCGCTCTCGTCTCCAAAGCAGGGATGCCAGTTGCAAAGCCATAGGTCAGACCGTAAAAACCCAGCCTGCCTGTGGGCTTAATTTAGTTGTGGTCCTTGGGGAACCCAACCGTAAGACATCTCGAAAGCAGAAAAAACAGAAACCTCCCACAATTTCAGCAAGAGCCTACAAGCGCATCGGCGAGTAGAACAAAGTTGGCGACAAAGTTGGAGAAAAAGCTTAATGCACCAAAGCCCATCTTGTGCGAGCAGATTCAGGCTAATAGGCGCATGCATTCCGGGAGAAGCCTAAACCCATGCTACACCAAAGCACAGAAGCAACAGACCGGACCAGACCGGACCAAACCTTGCCTTAGGCAATTGTATGCCTTGCAGAATACATAACACCTGCATCACAAATTGCCAATGCAAACATCGTGAACTTCTGCGCAAGAAACACCCACTGCGCTGGATGTTCAGATTGTGACATGTGCCGCTTGGCATGTCTGCAGACAGCTGCTGCCATGGTCTCACCAACACACAGCCTAGCCAACAAACCTGGAGCCGGCAGGGCAGCAGGCAACGCCAAATGCGAAATGATCAACACCCGAAGACACAAAGACTAGAGGTTCACCGGTCAACCTCCAGCCCGCATGACCAGACCAAGCTCACTGGCATCTTCTTGGTGCAGAGACTGGTTAGCATCTGCGACTGGAGCAGCTTGTCAGCAAGAACAGGATGTGTCAAGCTGAATTTGGACAAGCATCAATCGGGTACGATGCTTCTTGCTTTGCTGATTCTGTTCTGGTTCTTGTGGACCTCCTGCCGCTGCACGTAAATTTGTCGGCAGACGCACAACTACCAATAGAAGGTTCACGCAGCTGCTGAACACAAAGCCATAGACCGCCGGTTCCGTCATGCTGTGACGATCTGTCTGCCCAAGCTCTAGGTTGATCTGTCTTTGACAAGGAACATTGACCGATGTGCACATGAGCTGCCTGCCTTTCAGCGGCCACGCTTGATCAACGAGAACGATGCCCTTGGTGGGGAAAAATGACCGTCATCATACAGGCAGCAACTCTCGAAGACTTCAGGCAAAGCAGCGTGAACTCGCTCAGCGGGCAGTAGCTCCGCAAGGAGCATCCCAAGAAACCCAAGGCCGGAGCACAAGTCCTGACCAGGGTTTGGGTTTGTAGGGTGGGGTTTGGGGTTTAGGGTTCAGGGTTTAGCCGGCATTTCTGTTTTTGGAGTCGCTAACCTCATCAAAGCTCACATTGCTATAGTCTAAACTCCTAGCTTCCCCCTTAATGACCCTTATTATAGTAGTACCCCTATAGACGCCCTATGTAACTCCCTTTAAGGACTGTAAAAATGCGTTAAAGGGGTTACGGGGCGATATGGGGATATGTGGGGACTATATAGGGTTATATAGGGCCAAGATGCCACGATGGTCAGCGGCCCATCAGCTGGCTCAAGCTCCTAGGATGGTCAAGTTCCAAGGCAACTCTGGTGCAAATTATATGGGGGTTTCCCAAAAAATAGGGATACCTTTTGGGGGGGTCCCAATAATAAGGACTATAATATATTAGTGTCTATATTGGGGTCCCCTTTTTTTGGGAAACTACCATATATCATAGTAATATAACCCCAATATATACCCTATATACCAACCCATTATCGTAGTTTCCATTATCTTTTCCATTATCCCTATATTACCCCAAAATAGTAGATTCTCTTTCAAGCAGCGCTTTAGACGGATGCAACCGAGCTGCCGCCAGGCAGTCGTGCACAAAGGCGATGGTGGGCACAGCCTCGCGAGCTTCCTGCCGAGAAAGGTTTGCCAACAAAGGCTGTCAGGGCCACGCTGGCATTTATCATGCCTTCAAACAAGATCCACTTGCAGCAGGGCCTATCATAGATTGAATGCCTTGGCAAAAGCAGTCCTTGAGCAAGGTCGAACAATTATCTCTGGCAAGGCGCGCCTTGGAGACATGTCTGCAATGCCGAGATGTATGGGCTCTATCGCTCTGAATGGAACACTGCTACGACTTCCAGGCGAACTGCCCAAAGCGGTGGAGGAAATCGCCGTCTCCATGAGCAAGTAACCTGTTTGCACATCAGCTAGGCAAATCAGTCCAGGAACTCCAAGGGGCACCGGGCTGCATCATATTCCGTGCACAAACCGCCTGCTGAGCCCATCTTAGACCCCTCATTCCTCACTCAGCCTTTGTGGCTTATGAGACCCGGCGCTAGAATTGGATGCTAAGATGAAAAAAAATTGGTCCTGGGCACAGCTACGTTTAACATGACTGCACTTGGCTGAGCTTGCCTCTACCACACGCTGGCAGGTCTGCGGAAACCTTTGCGCACGTCATACTTGCAGTGGTGTTGCTAAAGCGCAGCTAACCCTGACTGTCTCGAAACATCTACACACATCAAATGAGCCACGGTGACCTGCTTACCTGGCTCGTGCACACAGGATTGGGGTTATCAATTGGTCTTGTCTCAAGATCGTTTTGCAATGCTTCACGCATAAACTCACCGTTAGCTATACCCGTAAATTGCTCAGGCTCTATTGATTGAATAAACACACTGGCTTCAGGGTGAAATTGGAATTTCGTTGGGGGATGAAGGTCTGTAGAACCCACGTTTCCCTGCGCGCCGGCTGGACTTGTTGTTGCTTAGTACTGAAATCCATATTACCGCCTTCTGGATGAGTTTTCGTCGGATTGTAGCACGGCTATTAATGCTGGAGCCCACGTTTCCGTAAGCCAGCTGAATCTTCATCGATTCATAGTAGGGGCTTATAGTCCCCCTTAAGTAGATAGAATATGGCTTTGGGTTTACAATAAGATCTCCATAAACCCTATATACTACTTAAGGGAGACTATGATCCTAAACTCTATTATACTATAGCTTTTTCCTTTTTTTCCATTATCCCTATAACCTTATATAACCCTATGATGCCCATATAGCCCCTATATATCCCAGGGGGACTTAGCTAAACACTGGAACCCATGCGTGAGCTTGCTTAATCTGCTTAATTTGCAGGGAACCCATCCTTCCGCCATCCAGCTGGATTTTCGTTGATTTGCGCACCCCCCATGTAAATCCAGGTTCCATTGGATTTCCCTTGTACTTTTCCATGTGATTCTCCATGATTGGGGGTTGGCTTGTGTTGGCTTGGTACTGGAACCTGGGCTTAGTTGCCCGTTTTTTTTCGTTGACTTCTTGTACTGGACTGATACTGGAATCCACGTTTCCGCATGACTACTGGCTTTTCTGCTCAGCCTTGGAATCCACGTTTCAGTGAGTCGGCTGAGTTTTAAGGCTTCAGCTACCATGGCTCAACTGCTGTCCACCCGATGCCTGAACTAGCGCTTCTCAGTTTTGACTGTTGCCCAATATCTACCCTATTAAATTAGAGTAGTTTCCATTTTCTTTTCCATTATCCCAATTTAAGCCCAATATATACCCTGTAGTAGTTTCCATTTTCTTTGCCATTATCCTCATACAACCCCAATATACTATAGGCCCCTATAACCCTAAACCCTAAACCCTATAAGCCCTATAAAGGTGGACAGGGCTTGCAACCAGCAAAGCATCCTATTGGCCTGCTGCGGTGCTGCAAAATCAACATGTTTAGGGTTTAGGGGTTTAGGGTTTAGGGTTTAAGGTTAGGGTTCTAGGGTTTAGGGTTTAGGGTTTAGGGGTTTAGGGTTCTAGGGTTTAGGGTTTAGGGTTTAGGGGTTTAGGGTTTAGGGGTTATAGGGGCCTATAGTATATTGGGGTTGTATGGGGAAAATGGAAAAGAAAATGGAAACTACTATAGGGTATAAATTGGGGTTATATTGGGATAATGGAAAAGAGAATGGAAACTTCTATTGAGGGTTTAGGGTTTTCAGGGTTTCGGGACCTTTCCTTTTGCATGTCCCTTAGAAGGACTGCGGTGTGTCTAGGATTTCCAATAAGGTAGCCTTGTCTATTCGCCCGGCAACGGACCCCGGGGCCCAACATCAAAATGAAAAGACATCACGCAAGCCCTTGCGCAACCTTTGTGCTCGAGCTTCCACAAGTTCTGTAACTCCAAGTTCTCAGTCAGCGCCATAAACCCGAATTCTTCAACCTGATATCTTAGATCCACAGCCCTAATTTGCAAACCTCAGGGGTTTAGGGTTTAGGGCCCCAAGCCCAAAGCTTGGAACTTTCCACACTTTGAGGCCTGTATCTGGTAAGCCCTGTAGCAGAGCCTGGGTCCAGGCAATAAACTCCAAATCCAGACGATCAATCCTCGACCATATACTCCCCCTTTAGTAGGTAGAATATGTGATTTTATGGGGATCTTGATATAATATGGGCGAAGCCATTTTCTATCTACTTTAGGGGGACTATACACCTTCAAAGACAACCCTCAGCCCAAAACCTCCAACCCTGAACCCCTTGATCCGCAACCCCCAAACCATAACCTGTACAATCACCTCTGTGGGGGTTTCCCAAAATAAGAGGTACCATTTAGGGTCCCTATAAACAGGATTAATATTGTATTTTGGGGTCTCTAATGGGGTCCCCCTATTTGGGGAAATTATCACATCCATGCTGGCCCATGCCGGCCTCGGGGCTCGGGCTCGGCGAGCGCAGAGGGCATTTGCTTCGGCCACGGAGGCACGAGGACAGACCAAAGGGGGAGACATCCGCTACATAGCTGCTTTGCAGCGGGTCCTAATTGTCCATTGATCTTTTCATGTATTGATTTGTATGCTTACGTATGTATATATACACACACACGCACGTCATGTATTCCCGACATGTGTCTTCAACTGTTGCTTTACATCCTTTGGTATATCATTTCTTCCCTGCACGTCCCTGTTCAAGGAGGGTCCCAGGTATCTCTTGAGCCCTACGGTTGCAGGTGGTCATCGGAGGATGCGGGGTTGCAGGTGCCAGCGCGGC